TTCCTTTTAAGGACTTCATGCATCCACCAGCATCCAAGGTACAGAATGGCGAGTCCTGACCATTTTTTAAACCTTTCAAGAACAATGCATCCATTAAAGGAATGTTTATTCTGATGTGAGACACCTCTGGAGAAATCTTATGTGACTTGTACTTGGCAAGCAGTGTTGACTGCCTTTAAACTGTACTAACCAGAACTCTGTGATTCATATCACTTCAAGCTTGCATCTGAAATATTTCTGGGTGAGTAACAGTGCAAGCCTTTGACTGACTTGAGTGGAATCCATTTTAAAGTACAGTACTTGCTACAGTAACTTGAAGTGGTGATTGAAAAGTGGGCTTATGTACAGCTTGTTGTGTATGTGTTAATGATGTAATTAAGACAAATTCTTTGATTAATTTGGATTTATTAGGCAGGTGTTTTGCACCAGTTTTTTCAAGTACAAACTGTACTAAAATTTTATGCAAGATGGTACTGTAACATTCCACATTATCTGTAACCAGCCTTTGTAAACAAAGGGAAGATGTACTTGTGTGTATAATAAATCATACAGTTCTGTAAAAACAACTTGCATTATTATTTAAATTCTTTTAAAACATTGATAATGTTGAACGCTTGAAATTGTATTTATTATGAATACTAAGTTTTATGCTTGCATTTTACCTAATATTTGCCTTCTTTGTTGGCAGATATGTTCATTCATATCTGATCATGCCATTGATTTTTTTTCTTTCGGCATATTTGAATGTATCTAATCTGTGGCCAATAAATAATTCTAACAGGAAATATGAATAAAAATAGTGGCAAACAATCTGTGTGCTGCCATGTTGAAAAAAATCATATAGAAAGAAAATGGCTCTATAGCAAATGCTACCATACCTCATTTCACTAAATAATTGTTTCGTTGTCAGCCCTCCCATTTTAAAGGTGTTTTTAAGACTTCTATTTGAAAAGTCTATGTGTGGGGGTGGCAGGGCTGAAATGGCATTGGTCACCATTGTTGAATTATGACTAAAACAAGTTCTTGAATATCAGCAATATTTTACTTGTATTTCTTGTCATTGTTTCAATAATCTTAACTGCATTGTTTTGTAATGTCTTTTCAACCTGAAAAAATAACTGTTCTATTCCTTGCATATAATTTGTGTGTGATACAAATTTAAGAAGTGTATTTTTTAAAGATAGTTTAGAGATATACAGTAAACAGTCATGAAGTACAAATGTTTGTTTTCCTTTCCTATGCTATGTAGTGCTATGGGATAAATATTTCCTGCCAAGCCAGCATGGGATCATGTGTCCATCACCAGCTGCAGGGTACAACTCCCATCCTTCACTATTGGCTATGCTAGCTAGGGTTGATGGGAGTTGTTGTCCAGTAATATCTAGACCTCATTGTTGCAAAAATCTTTATAGCTAGTACTAAAGTTTAGTCAATATATGAATTAATGTTTATGTTCTAATCTTAAGAACACTGCAACATGGTGGACATATGCATATTTCTTCTGTCTGTTCCCTCACTAAAGTAATACTTAACATGCATTTTACAGACATACGTTGCTACCTGCTGTACAGTTAATACTGTCGCAAATACTGTATATTCCTTTAGCTATGGTTGTGTTCTATTCTCCTCAAAGCACCATGACTATGATAGTTTATTGTGCTTTACAGACCTGCACCTTTTGTGATGACAAAAGGCAAAGAGATGTGGATACAAATCCATTAAAATAGATTTTCTATCACAATGACTTTATTTACATTGTTCTTATGAACTTTTTAAATAATACACTTTGAATAAAGTGATCTGAATTTAGTTACACATGAGCATGTTTAACACCTACACTTAAGATTCAAATATTCAGCCTCATATTAACTTCCAAGTTAGTGTGCTTAGGATTACCTTAAGCTCCTGAGGTAAATGCTGTTGTTCCATGAAAAGAGCTGCAAGAATACTATTTAGAAACACAGAAAGTCTCCTTAGCTCAGTAATGTTGGCACAGACTGGTAAGCAGCTCTCCGGAGTTTCAGACAGGATTCTTTCCAAGACCTACCAGGAATTGAATTGAGAATCTTTTGCATGAGAACTTTGAAATGGTACTAGTGAACTATAGGTACTCCATTCCATTTGAGGCCAAACCATGCATATTGGTCAGCAGATCATGGAGAGATGGCCAGTGTCTTCAGGAGATGCCATTCTGCATTGTATCAGGATCATCATCTCTGCAGTTTGTCATGATATTATGATACACTGAAACAACTGGACGTTTACTTTCCTTGTTTTGAGGGTGGGGGCATCATCTGCCCAGTTCCTAGCTGTTCCTGCTTTTGGAAAGTTACATTGTTTTCATCTTCTAATGAGTAAAATGGCAAATCCATTAACTTCACATTACCTCCACCATCTTTGTTTCTAATCAAATTCTTGACTTTAGAAGACTCCATGAACAAGGTGTTGTTTCTGTTGTTTTACAATAATCCTACCAGCTTAGTAAAAATTACTAGGTGGCAACAGTGAGATTTCATAGTTACATCAGTCAGTATGTATGTACTTCTTAAATATTTTATTTATTGTATTTCTGTACCACCCTAGAGTCAAAGCTCTGAGATGTAAATAGAAAGCATGATTTAAATCAGTTATTACACATTTTTTTTTCCTCATGGTACTTTAACAGGGCAATACTGTCCTAGAATTAAACTGGAGCTAGACAGACAGTTCCACTGTATGTTAGGGGTACAACTACCATATTCATTATATGTTTCAAACAAGAAGGGTAGCAGTATGGAATAATTTTTTTAAAATGCTATCTACCTCCCCAGGGACATTAGCAACAAACACACAGCAAAGACTAAGTTCCCAGAAATGGAAGAAGCTGAGATATTCAGGCCAGTGTATGGAGTTTGATTATTTACTAGATTTATATCCCACCTTTTTTTTAAAGAGCCCAAGGCTTACATAATTAGCCTCCTCTCAAGCTTATCCTCACAACAACCCTGTGAGATGGATTGGGCTAAGAATCTGATTTGTCCAATGTCACCCAGTTAAGCTCCATTGCTGAGTGGGCCTAGAACCTGGATTGCCTGAGACCCACACTCCTAACCACTATACCACACTGGCTTTCATGATTCTTACGATCATGGCTCTCACAATCATGATGATGCTACTGTCATTCAATGGGCACAATGCCATCCTCAGTAGCTCTACAGAAGACAATCCGTTTCCCAAAACCCTATGGTACGTGTTCCTGCCATGTTATCTAATAAACCTGCCTTGCTAAGGCAGCATCTCATACTGTCTCATACATTGTAGCAGCAGTAGCCATTCCTCAGTCTACATAATTCTAGAGCCAGAAAGAACTGAAAATGGAGAAAGTATGGAGCTTCCTGCCAGCAGGAGTCCCATTTAAGGCCAATTTGTTGTACTAACCCCCAGCCGCCATCAGAGAAAAATACTGATGCCATGTTGATAGTCCTTATTGAACTGCACCAGAAATACAGCAGATCGTATAAAAGAAAATATACGCATAGAAATTACCAACCATTCAGCCAGCCAGCCAGCATCCCTGTGCCGGCTGGCAGCTGGAGGAGGAGCAAATGGAAATACTTGGGTTTACAGCTGCCAGCTATAGAGTGGGCCTCCCTGCTCGTTTGCATAAAACTGGGTGTGGAATAAATTCTGTACCTATGCAAGAGCAACCTGTGCAAATGGAGACAGAGCAGCAAGCAATAGTTAACATTTCGATCACACAGTTCCTGAGCAGTATTTTTATACTCCACTTTTTAGCTGAAAAGCCTTCTGCAGTAGCTTACAAAAATTAGTAATAAGCAAATCCCTGCCCTCAGGATTTGCAAAATGCCACAAACATGAAAACCAGGAAAGTGCTCTTAAAAAAAAAAAAAAAAAAAAAAAAAAAGAAAAAAAAAAAAGCCCTCCAAAAAAAAAAAAAAAAAAAAGCTAAGCTGGAAGATAACAGTGCCCTCCAATGAAACTGTAAAAAACAATGCAAGTTTCATCAGAGCATACAGTGGGCATCAAAAAACAACTCTTACACAGCAATCCTAGGGCGTCTAGACTGGGTTCGGCTCTGATCCCAGAAAGGAGACTCGAACCTCTTAGCAGCACTTTCCCTTGCCTTGGCAAGAAGGGTGCATTTTCGTGTGCAGTGTGGGAGACCGGAGAGGCCAGGATACGAATTACGCTAAGGCCTCTCCAACCACCCCCTGTACCTCTTCAACGTGCCACAATTAGATGAGCAAAAAAGTCAATCTAGCGAAAAATGCGGAGGGTTTCTACTTATTTAGGGGACCGCCTCTCGATATGGTATGTTCCAGTCAGGAATATGCCCTTTTGTATGCAAAAATGCCATACACGCCGATAACAGATTGATATGTGCACACTTGTATTTATAAAAATACAAGCATAGGCAAGTGTTGAATGTGTCTTTTCAAGCGATGCATATCCCATTTTAAGCTACTTGCAAGGGCCCAGCCTAATTGCACAGTAATCCTTTGCAGGAATAATCAGAGGTCCCCCCTGGATAGGCCTTTAGCCTATTGTACTTTTCGTAATCTTTTATCAGTTATGCTTCTTCGCAGGCCAAGAGATAATACGCAAAACACCTCGCCTTGCACACTTAATTAGCCCGTTCCTTCACCTAAAACGTATTAAATCCACCGTCTTGCATTGAGCCTGTCCGGAACTACATTTCCCAGTACTACCCACTCAGAGAAGGAGGCTAATTGTTAGGCGCCCGCGCCCTTCAGATTTTCCCGCGGATTTTTGCTCGTCCTCCTAAGGTGAGGGGCGAAAGAATTCCATTGCCCGGAATTCAACGAACAGAGGCCAGTTCCTGCCCCGTCGGGAGACTGATTCGATCCGCACGTTGCTGGGGAGCGGGTCGAAGCGGAGGCTGCACGAGGAAAGCCGAAAGACTGTTGCCCGCCCCCATCCCCTCCCGGTTCCTTTTCTCCTTGTTCAAGATGGCGCCGGCAGCCGCCGTGACGGAGATCTCGTCATGTGGATTCAGCGTGAGCTCTGCCCCACCCGCTCTATAGTTTGGCTAATTGGGCGCGCGAAGAGTGAGGGAGCAGGAGGAGCGGAGCGAGTTTTCTCGTCCTTCCGGAGCGGGTGGGGGACGAGAGAATCGGCGTGATCTCGAAGAGGGCGGGAGTGCGGCTTCGTCGTCTCCAGTCGCGGTACCTTAGCAGCCGACGGTGTTTTCGCTGCCGTGGGGGAGGGGAGGAAGGCAACGTGGGGGAGGAGCTGGGAATGAGCGCCGTCCTCAAAGGATGCCACCGAAAAGCGCGGGGTGTGTCCCATGAGCGTTTCTTCCGTTCCTTTTCTCGGGTCTTGAGCCGTCTGCGCCGCCTGCCTGGCGGGGCGTGCGGCAAGGGAAAGAGCGCGGGGAGCGCCATCGCGGGCCCACCGTCGCGGAGCGCGTGGAGCGACGCTTTGCCGGGCTGCGCCGCGCCTTCACGTGTGTGCCTCCCGCCCGCCTTTTCTTTCCTCAGGAGTGGGAGGGGGGAGCAGGGACTCGCTTGCTGCCTCCGCCGCGACTGCGGGCCGTGGCGGTGCCTGAGAGAAGGAGCCAGCCTGGCACGAAAGCAGTCAAAGGCGAGTGAGTGTCTAGAGGGGCAGGAGGGGAGGAACGCTAGGTAGCCGTAGGTTTCCCCTTCTTCCTCTTCCTCCTCCTCCTCAGTTTTACTCCTCTCCCCCCTCTCATTCTATCCTCACGTCCGCGCGGAGTTGCGCGCCGATTGACAATTAAGGTTCCCGGTGACTGTACCAGCTGGGGCCTGTAATGTACCTAATAAACGAGACTCTTCGCGTCAGTTTCAGGTCATGCAAGGGAAAGGGCAAAGCTGGCGGGTGGGAGAGACGGAAAAGAGCAAGGGACGCGATCTGGGCGGGGTTTCCTTTTTGCTCTTCGCAGCCAGGCAAGGAACGGAGTCTGGCTGATGTCTGCTGCAGATAAAAGGGGAGAAGAGGATCTTCAAAGGAACCAAACCCTATTCTACGGCTCTCGACCTCTCCTTTTAGACTCTTCATTGTATGCAGAGTTCAGCATACCTGCCTCTCCCTTTTCTTCCTCCCCCGCCCCTGCTCCTCGCCTTCCCTGCTCTGGATGGGTCGGGTGCACCATGGCCCTGGCTGAGGTAGTAGTTTGTGCTGTTGGTCGGGTTGTGACATTGCCCGCTGTGGAGATAACTGCGCAAGCTACTGCCTTGCTAGTGCTGGTGACGATCAGCTGCAGACGAAGACAATGACAATGGGAATCCCCTTTGTTTTCCCCGGGATTGCACTGAAGGGGTAGTAACAGAAAGAAGCTTGCGTTGCCTGCTCAAATTTTTTCTCATTGGTACATGGTTTTGAGGAGCCAGACTTTGAATGACATTTAACATCCTCTAGATAATTTTTTTTTTTTTTTGCCTTTCCGCAAATGCCTGTTTCTCCTGACTTTGATATGCATGGAATGTTCATATTATCTAGGCTAGCTGTGTGTATATTTCTTCGTGACATGCTGACAAATGCTATTGTATTTAAATTACTAGTTTGACTAAAGAATATTGCTGCATGTGGATATCACTTGATGTTCTGTCAAAAGACAGAATGTGTTGCATATCTGGGGTGTGCTGAATAGATACTAAATGACATCTCAGGACAGATCTCTTGAATCTTTAGGTGATCATTTACCTACTACTGACATGTTGATACTTTCAGATTGTATTGCTCATTTGATGACTTTGCGATAATTACTGTTTGAATTCAGGTTGTGGAGAGCACATATTAATAGAACACATGTTAAGATATAGGAAAGTGATTTAGATAAATGTTAACTACCCTGTACTTCGTTTCTGTAGCCTGTTCCACTGTGTATAAAAATACATATTTGTGAGAAATCTTGAACAGTAGCAGTTTGGAGCCTTATAAAATATAACAATATCTCAGATTTTGTAAGCAAAATATTGTATGTCAGCTGTCTTCCTCATAAAAGACATTATAAATTAGCATACCTATTTTAAGTTATTTTATTTTATACAAGCATAAAGGCAAATTAGTTTTTAATGAAATACGATGTATTTCAAAAGTAATAGTAAAAAATTACAATTGAACAAAAATGATTAAAAATATAAGCAGTTACTAAACTATATACTTACTTTGATACATAATTAGAATGCCTTGCAAAATTCAAATCTTGCTTCTTAACCATTTGAAAATATGAATCTGCATTTTCATAATCCAAAGCTTTACAGCTCTGTGTTTGTAAATTTATCTTTAATAACTTAAATATCCAAGAAATGAAATCTGAATTCCCAGACTGAACAATCAGATCATTCAAGCACTACAGAAATTTGTTAAACTCTTCCTTTTGCCCTCCCTTAAATGAGCATATGAAGCTGTTCATTGGAAAACAATAGGTCAGGTTGTCTTTATTTTGAAGGGTCATTATCCAACACTTCCTTTAGGATATTGCTGAACATGACCTACCCTTATGAACTGCTTACCCTTTTTGAATACTATGTGGCTAACCCATGGAAAAATAGAAGCACTAATTAATTTTAAGAGGAACATATTATAAACAGAGACTGATTTTAAATTCCAGTCCCTTTAAGGTATACATTGTAGGAAGTTCTTTTAAATAAGATTAAGAAGAAGCCAGAGCAATTACTGGGACAAGTTCTAGGTTATAGCACCTTCGTTACCTTTCATTAAACGAAATTAGTAGCAAAATCTTGGATATCCCAAATTTGAAGAAAATTTCTAACTCTTTGTGTAAATGATGGAACATTTTTAATGGTTTTTAAGAATTGTTGAACTTAATCATTTCTGCTATTAGTTAATGAAATATTTCTAAAACAAAGTCTGAAAGATAATGCAGTTTTATCAAATAACCCTGAAATAACACATGTGTTCCTTCTGAAAAGGTGAGAGTGAAATCTGTTTTTTGCATAATAAATAATCAGAATTGTCCTTTGAAAGTAATTAAAATGTTTATTACTTTCAAAAAAAGTATTCGTGATATTTCAGTTTGGACATTGATCAACTCTGATATATCAGTTTTGCACATTGATCAAATTTTTACAGACAAAGTAATCAATTACTGTTCTTGCGCATTTTCTCAGGCAAGCTAGGTCCATGCAATGCACTTTGACTTGTATCTTTATAAGAATCATAGCAACTTTTTCCAAAATGGTATCCTTCAGTTGTTTTGGGATACAACTCCAGGCATTTCTGACTACTGTTTTTTTCGATGGGCCTGATGGGGATTGAAGTCGAAAACATCTGGAAAGTATTAGGAAGGCTGACTTTAAAAACTGAGAAAGAATTTTAAAGTTTGTTTGCAATATTTTCAGTTAATTTCAGTTGGTGATAGTCCAGTTCAAGAATATACTTGTGGCTATTCAGTAAAAGTTACAGTACTATTGCAATGTTTTAAAAACCTTAGGGCAAAATGCAAAGTGTAAATTAGATCTTACAGGTAACTACTGTGTGCCTATATGCATGTGTGTCTATGTAGTTAAGACAGGCATGTGTTGCAACCTTCTCCTTTCCATTTCCTATAAAAATATTGAGTAGCTCTTTCAATATACAGAGCAATAAATGCTTGAAGTTATTAAGTGATTTATGCTTTTAATTGAATATCTTTTCTATCACTGTCTTGGTTATTTCGCTAAGTTATCAGTTGCTTTTACTTCAGAATAGTAGCCATAATTTCAATACTTCATATGAGGCACTGCCATTTTCTTTTCCACCACTTTTCCATTTGGCTGCTGTAAGGAGAAAACACACTTACAAGTTAATCTTTGCATATCTCCAGTCCACACAACTCTTTAAAATACTATAGATCTCATATAGGTTATATACTACATAATTATTGGAACTGGAAGGCAGAATTTCAAATTCATTAATGGAAAAAGCTTTCTAAAAGTTGTCAAATTATTCTTCTGGAATCTCATCTTTTGGCTTTAACTTTTTCAACACAAAAGGGATGCATTTAAGTATATAGTTAATACGTCTTGGCAGTTGTGCATCATTAGTATTTATAGATAACATATCATGACTAGTGTAGAATTCAAGCAGAAATTATGGCTTGAATCCAAAGAACTGAGCTTAGAAGAAAGGGTTTGTGAACATGTGTACAAGCTAACAGTCCATGCAGTGAACAATGTATCAGTGTGAGAAGCAGGGAGAATGAAGATAATGGTTGTAGCATATGAACTACTAAGCCATGAAAATGATGTGGTGAAAAAACTGGTGCATATGAAAGGACACTGGGTACAGGGTCACTCACTTTCCTCAACACTCATTCAGTTGGAAACACCTGTGAACAAAAGATGCTTTCTGCTACTGGAAGTAATATTTAAATCCAAGTTCATATGCAATACATAAATATGGTTTCAGTTTTCTTCTGGGTATATTTGCATAAATAATTAGTAATTACATGGTAGAAATGTGGGAAGCAGTAAAAATTTTGTGTAGACTAGAATAAAGTGAGTAGTCATTAATCAGATATGAAATCAATTTTATTAAAATGGTGGTAGACCTAAGTTTTCCCTACTGTATCTTAAATGTTCATAGTAACCTACTCCAGTTTATGAAATATGGATGGTAAAAGAGGTGTTCTGAATGCCCTTGAAAGAAATACAGGTAGAAGTTAAAGTATTTTTGTTCTTGTCCCATTTCTCAGTACATTTATAACCAGGCTGCCCTTTCATTCAGTGTGAAGCCAGACATTCAAAATTGCTGCATAGTACATTCCTCAGATTATTCTGTTTCAGTAAGTGGTGAAGTAAGTTGTTATAGTTTTGACTCCCCCATACCTTTGCCTCAGTGTTAAACATGTATTATGTACTTAGAAAAGTAGAGCACAATTCAGAAAGGATGGCAAAAGCATTTTGGACTGTGCTTTTCAGGTTGTCACTGCTCAGGGATGGGATGGGATTATTTTATTTGAACCATTTATATTTTTCCTTCCCACAACTTGTTCTGAAGGGGGATTATAAAACAATAGGACTGTAAGAATGGAATATACATAAAATACAAAGAGGCAAGGATTGTTACCATCTAGTTGTTTAATAGCAGCACCAAATACCTTGAATTATACTGCTGAAATGAAAATTTGGGGTAACCAGGAGTGGAATTTTTGTGTGAAAGGATTGAGTTCTATTCAGTTCTGGCACTAGGAACAAATGCCTGGGCCCAGAATTATTTAATTACAGGTGTGTATCTTGTATCAGGCTCTGGCTGGTGGACCTTGAGATTCTTGTATAAAAAGCAAACTGAATCCTGCCCACCCCTTATTTATGGGTACAAGTAAAGAAACTTACAATTAGATAAGTGTTTTTAAAATGAAATGTAGTTAGCTCTGTAGCCTTAGTTTATAGTAGCTATGTGCAATGTATGAAAAGTTTCACCAATTCATTAACACACAATGTTCACCAAATGTTTTTGCATCACATAACTGTATGCCATTCCTGAGGTAGCTTCCACCATAAAAATGAAGTCTTGGCATGTAGCATGTCCATATATTCATGCAGTGTGAAAAGTATCTTTCAAAAACTTAAGGCTTGGTTGCACAGTGCCCATGCAGTTTATGAACTTTGCTTAAAGATGTTGGATTTTCAGTGGAAAGTACCTTTGCCCAATGTTCAAAGATTCCCCCCCCCCCCCCCTTTTTTTTCAGGTCTGCTGATGTTCTTGGAAGGCTAGAGAAACTACCATTTGCAAAAGAGGCAGAAGTCTGTTTCTAGAATGTCAGTTGCACTTGTATAAATCTAGATACATCCCACTATCAGAGAATTTTTGTAAAATGTTATTTATATAAAGTATACAAGTTAAAAATTGCAGATTCTGCATTCATTAGTCAGGTCCACATAACATTCGAATTGAGCACCATAACCACACTTGGGAACTGTTCTCTGTATGTAGAGCATAGCAACTCACCTGATTTGAGTAGGCCCTAGCACTATGGTATATCACTCATTAAGGATCAGAACTGGGTGTAATTCAAGATGTAGTTTTGACATAACCTCTATATGTCAATATTCATATTTCATAGCAAGTATTAAGGCAGATCTGAGGCAGTGTTAACATAACCCTTCCACTCTCATACTCTTGGCAATAGGGAAGCATACTTGATAGTTACTTTCAAGCTGTTCTTCAGTAGAAGATTTTATAAAGTTTAGTCCTTAGCATCAAGAGGTGATGCAAAACCCAACAAGACACTTTTATCAACTGTACGAGTGAAGAGATGATGTCAAGTGATAGATAATTCTCCAGAATGTTAGATTGACTAAGTAAAACCAGCAGAATAAAGTTTTACGAGTAGAAGAGATTGAAAAGCATAAACAATTGAAGGGCTGAAATGCCTGGTGGAATTTTAAAAAGTCTTCATCTGATAGGAAAAAACACCACAACTAAGTGGCCAGATGAGATACTCTGGAAACAGGATTCCACAACTGGTGAGCCACAGCTGAAAAGACCTGTAAATTCTGAGAGAAGCTGCTGCAATCAGATCTGGATCACTTCTGAGCTGAAAAGTGCCATATTGGTATTGCTTAATTTTCAACATTACCTGATAAAATAGTTAGAAACCTAAATTATTGTGCCTGTTTTTACATCACAAGATCCCACCATGGGTTAATTTAACGGCAGAGGCTGTTGTGCCAGATACCAGGACCACCTGCTGGTATCCTGACTACTTGTGCCTAGTTTATTTTACATTTTTCTTTATTTAATTGTAGAAATAAATAAATTTCTATACTGCCCCTATTCCCAAAACTTACCTGGGCAGTTGCATCATGGGAACCCAGGTAGCTGGGATTATTTGAGGGTTGGACAACCCTCAGATAACCATAATGCATGTAACAGGGCAAGTCATCACAAACTGGGCACCACACAAAACTCTTTTCATTGATGCCCAGTAAAAGAAGAGAGCACCCATAATGGTGGGATGTCATAGGAACCAATGACAATGTCCTTGGGGGGGGGGGGAGTTACTGGATAGCCGTTTTAGTCAAATACACACCAAATGTTTCACTGTTAATTGGCAGTAGTACCAGATACTGCAGTTTGAGGTTTTGTCATCCGTACCACCACCACCCAATTTATACTTCATTTGTAGTAGTATACGAAAACTTAGTAGCAATTTATTAAGTGCAAAGGTTATATAACTGCTCCCTCTCTTAACCATTTTAAATATGGTGAGGCTTTTAATAATACACAATTTTGCTTTTAAAGGTTTGATACAAAGAACCAAAAGACCCATCTGTAAATAGAACTGATCTATGGTCCATCTACTGCAGAGGAACACTTGGCAAATGCAATAAATACAATACTGTTTATACTAGTAGTGATATAAAAGGCTTTCAAAAGGTTTTTTTTAATGGTTCCATCTCTAAGTACATCTGATACATTGCTCAGTAAGACAAACCTTTAGTTCAGAATCAATAAAGCCACTCAAAGTCACACAAAACCTAGAGTGACCTATCATTCTCATAGTGTCTTTGCTACCTCTGCTGTGGTCAGATAAATCACCTTCAGGCTGCTAAATGAATGACCATGAATTAACTATTTACTGTTACATCTTAAATAAAATTCTCATGGCTTAATTGATTCAAGAATTACTGTGAACTTCCCCTTTCATAAAAGAATGGCTTTTTTAAACAACATCACTGTTGTGATGGAAAAAAATTAGAATAAGCTATTTGTTTCTACATAATATATATAAATTGAAATTCTTCAGCCTATCCCAACTAATTCATGTTTCAATTGTACCCAGCTGCTTAAATTGCGCTGCTCAGAGATTGCCTTGATCCCCAGGTGCAGGTATTCCATCTGTGCTGCTCTGAAAGACTATTTACAGCAGAGGTTAGGCCAGTGATTGCTGGGATGGAAAACTCATTTCTCAGCCTGGCTTTTATTTACACTCTTATTAAAGATCCTTTCACTCATGTTGGAATGGCAGCTAGTGGCTGCAGCAAGCATTTGGCACCAAGCCAAGCAGCAAAATTACCATGTCGATGAAAGATAGCCTGCTTCCATTTTAACCTTTCACTGTTCCCTCCTTTCCATCAACATTTGCATGAAGAAGAATGATTATTGAACAAGATAGACTGACAAAGGGATGAGGAAGGCCTTGGCAACTGAACTCTCCAAAGAAATTGGATCACCAATTTGGAAACAACTTACTGCTTTGTTAATGTGTCATTATACTTAATTACTATTGGAAATTAGTTTGAAGTATTGGTGCTGTTCCCTGTTTTACTCACTTTGAAATTATTGTTTAACATACAGAAAGTGTTCTCTGTTTCACAAATCTGTTTCATAAAAGAATTGCAAAAGGAAATCCTTAAATATTTCTGTCTTCTAGCAAATACATGAAATATACAAAGCAATAGCTTTGTTTGTAACAAAGTAAGATCCTTGCTCTCCATTTGTTGGTATAACAGCAAACAGATACACAGTCACATCTTGGAAAACTTCCCAAATAGTAATCATGTTAGACCTTAAGATGTTGAATATCATGGATAAAAATCAGCTGAATCAACAAGAAATTGCTGTGTGGAGTAATTTGGAGTTCTGGAGTGAGTTGCTGTCAATATGCTGATGACATACTATTCTATTTCCCCTTTTCATGTCTATCCATTAAGTTTGCAGATACGCTAAACCACTGCCAGCCTGTAATGATGAGCTAGAACTAATAAACTGAAGCTTATTCCAAACAAGACTGAAATGCTGTAAGTGGGTGGCTCTTCTGACCAGATGGAGGATGTTTAACTTGTTCTACATGGAGTTGCAGTCTTTTTGAAGGATTATGTCTGTAGCTTCTTGGGAGTTATTTTTGTCACTTGAGGCCCAAGCGGCTTCAGTGACACAGAGTGCCTTCTACCAGCTTCAGTCATTATCCCAACTACACCTATGCTTCAGTTTGGTTGTACTCTCATTTGCTGGGCTATTACCCAAATTGCAAGATAAAATTATAAATATTGCAATTGATGTAAAATGCAAATTACAGTAAATTTTAACAGCAGCAACCCAGATTTGGGACAATAGGCAATCTGAAAAGTTGAAAAAGTGAGAATTAAAGGCAAAACTTACAGTGCTATAGATTCAGCAATTTAAATCTCAAGACTACTCAACCACAAGCAAACCCCAAGTTTGTAAAACTAAAATTTCAAGCAGTGTCAGTACTGTAAGAAGCAGGGCTATTGGCAAACTGAGTACAGAAAATACATATATGAACAGGTGCAAAAACACCTTTTTCCCTCCATGGGCCCCACTAATGGCACCTTATTGCCTACAACCTCCTAGTGGCCAGTATCAGGAATAGCAGCAATGAACAAAATTAACTATCACCATGACTAGAAACTTATCCATTTCTCCTCCCCCCCCCCACCCACCCCAATTCAATACTTGCTGTTAAGGTAAATGGTAAACAATGTTATTTCCTGACAGACACCAGTGCAAATATGTCAAGTATTACCTAACACCTCTGAAGTAGTAAATGCAGTCAGGATTGGTAGAAAAGTTACAGCTCATGTAGTGATTCTGCGACTGTAACAATGGTATAGCTCTGTGTTGACCATGCCTTGTTGTTGTCCCAATCAAGTTGTCCTGTAAACTTGATGGGAAGAAACTTATTCTAAAATTGTAAGCTACAATTTACTGTATTCGAGGGTATCCACATCAACACACTGGAACACCTTTTCCATATTTGATCATTGCTCTTACAGTAGAGGAACTAAAGGACATCCCTTCATGTCCTCTGTGGCCTCAACTTTGTAGCAATCTACCCAAATGAAGTGGGGCTGCTGAGAGGAACCAATCCTGTTATGATTCATTGGAAGAAGGGCAGGCTTTCCCCCCAAGTGTCTTAGTATCCCCTCTCCAAAGTACAAGAAAAGGGCATAAAACTTGTCCATCTATCTCATCTCTGCAAAATACATATTAATTGTGGTGGACCTAGGATCAGCTTCCCTTTCCATTCCAGTACATGGATCCTGTCAGTTTCTCTTTGCCTTTACATTTCAAGGGTGATACATGATGTGGAAAAGACTTCCTTGAGGGTATACTGAATCTCCTACTAGGTACAAATATTAAAAGCTGACTTAGATATGCTAGGTTTGCCTGCTGATTCTGTATTAGTGCAGCATGTTGATGACTTCCTAATTGCTTCTGAAAGAGAAGCACAGTGTATGGCAGATACTGGAACTGATCTACACCATCCAGCAGCATAGGGGAACAAAGCTTCTAAGTTACAATTCTGTAAAATGAAAGTCACCTATTTAGGAGGTATTCTCAACCAAAGCAGTAGAAAAATTAAAGACAATTACTGCATTCCTAAGTATGTCTAAGCCTGCTTCAAAGCAACAGATAAGTATTTTTAGGGACCTTTTTCTTGTTGTCTAAACCTCTAATTTACTCCACAGTAACTTCCAGATTTTCCATGGTGTGTTTGTTCAGCTAAAGAACAAACTAAGTTATTTAAAATTGGCTTTAATAAAATCCGTGTTGCCTCATTGCTCATCCATTTGACAGTAACCAAGTACAAATTATTTTAATGTGATAGTCCGTGGTTATTTTGTGCATATATATTGTTCACAGAACCTTCTCCTTTACAAAATGCATCAACATGTGTTTCCACAGAACTTTACAAACACCACTCTGCTTTTTAGATCTAAATTACAGATAAATGTACTATAGTCAGCCAGAGACTTGTTCCAGAATTCACATCAGGTAAATCAGACCTTAAATGTAGGACTGTTTTTCAACAACCTACTTCTTTTCAACGTTTAT